ATGTGTAGTAGATATTGAACTCTGACAAGCAGAATGTGCTGGCATAGTCAAGTAAGGATCTCTTCCTTTGTATAGTTACGTTTACAACATTATATACATTGAGAGCATGCAATGTTCATGACATTGTAAAGTCATATAACCAAGACGGGTTTACATACATACATTACGCTAGAGAATCTGCTCTAGATAAGTGTATTGAGGTAGAGGGAGCGGACTTTAAGAAACAGCGTCATGAAACTAAACGCCGACAGCTCCGGGTGATCATATAATGTCTTTTTTATTTCATAATCATTTGGCAAATTATCAACGTATCAAGCTAAATTTTTCAACATTTCTTAAACTTTTGTTGTTTTATGTTCCTTATAAATTTTGAAAGCATAGACCGCATAGTATTGATTTTATCGCATCAGTCAAAAAACTTTTTGATAACCCCTCGTAAACTACAATTTTTGAGGCTTGTACTCCATGCAATGTGGAGTATTGTAGATACCTTGTGTTATTAAAGTACTTTGGGAGTAATATATATGTATGTATATGTATATATATATATATATATATATATATATATATATATATATATATATATATATATATATATATATATATATATATATATATATATATAGATAGATAGATAGATAGATAGATAGATAGATAGATAGATAGATAGATATAGATATATATATCAAAAAAAAAATTACTGCAAGCGCTTTCGCCATGTTAGGCCCTTCAGGCAGTTAATGCCTATCACATCTAACTATCATAACTGCCTGAAGAACCTAACATGGTTAAAGCGCTTGCAGTAAATATATTGTGATTTTTTGGATTTTTATTTTTAATACACCCAACAAAACTTTACCGGTTCTTCATTTTGTTTTTTAATTTTTTTAATATATATATATATATATATATATATATATATATATATATATATATATATATATATATATATATATATATATATATATATATATATATATATATATATATATATATATATATATATATATATATATAACAAAAACAAGTGTCTTTGGAGGTAATGTAGGCTAGATGACTAACCATTTTCATGAGAGCTCAAAAGCTCAAAGAAAGCGAAGTTAAACATGGATACTAACAAATGCATGAGAACGTTGCAAATTGACATTTGTATAAGCATGAAGTATTCTTTTTTTTTATGTCGATATTTAAATTCATATGCATGTATTTACTTCCTCGTTTCACTATGGCTCTTCTGTCCTGGAAATGTTTTATTTTTTTGTTGAAAATGGATGTTTGTTACGGTATGATATTTGCTAGTATTACTTTTATTCTTGTCTAATTTTTATATCTATTTATTTGATTAATGGATAATAAAAAAGGTCATTGCATCGTTTGTAAAACATACATTTTACCTTTAAGATATCCTTGCACAGTAGACAGACGACAAACTCGCAAAATGTTACTTCATTCGCGCATCCATCGGGGTTCAGTAGGGTTCAGTTGTTCTGGAATTCTTTTCTTATGTATAAAGTTATAAAATTAACAAACTGAATAAATAAACCTGTCTTTGGACTCCTTAGTAGAGACACCGATTCCATCTTTTCTTCGAATGAATAGTAATCTATACAAAGAGGAGGTGGTTTGTGAGAGAACCCCCCCCCCCCCCAATTACCCTTTTGTGTCTGGGCATCTATATATATATATATATATATATATATAGAGAGAGAGAGAGAGAGAGAGAGAGAGAGAGAGAGAGAGAGAGAGAGAGAGAGAGAGAGAGAGAGAGGTGTTACATTAAAAATGTGTAATCAGGAATTTCATGTATTTCCTTCATTTTAGGAAATACATGAATTTCCTATTCTGCTTAGGAAATACGTGTATTTACTGTTTTCAGTTAGGATATGCATGTATTTACTGAATTTTTCAATACTTTTTACACGTATTTACTGATCGTGTCTTTGGTGAGATAATCATGCAAAAATATGAATCATAATCATAAAAAAAGATGCACAGTATGAATTTAATATTTACTTTACTAACTTAAATCCAGTAAGTAGAGTTCAATAACTTGTACATACAACAATCCTTAATTGATTCACATTGACTGATGATAATAGTAGGCTTTTCGCCGAGAAGCTCTTTACTTGGTATGAAAATGATACGTCTGTCAAACCTTGATTGCAAAAAAAAAAAAAAAAAAAAAGTCACATAGTGACATTTCTGTATTATTAATTATCATATATTATATACTCATACTATGCATTTATTAACAGCAAATTTAATACATAGTTGTTAAATAAAACAATTTTTATATTGTCTCTGGAAAAATGCCAAAAATCTTATAAAATACATAGATTATAATGGTTCAATGATGAAACCTTAGTTAAAAGAATTCCTCCTTAAATGAAAATTTAGAAAGACAGTGTACTGAATTTTGCCCAGACAACTAATATGTAAGATCATTTTAACTGAGAGAGAACAACAGCACTTTATATTTTATTTTCTACAAAGCTAACATTCGTCAAAACGTAGTTCGTAGCATTTGTAAAATTGAAAGAAGAAAAAAATGTCTTTCTATTGTTTAGAATTTTAAAATTTCGTTTGAAGCAGAAATTGGACAGTACATTTCATTCTGAGTTAGTAACCGACGTGCCTATCTCACACATTCTATTGTCATCGATATATATATATATATATATATATATATATATATATATATATATATATATATATATATATATATATATATATATATATATATATATATATATATATATATATATAATTTTGTCAAACAATTTCAGATTAGGATGTATTTCTGAGTATGTAATGCACCCCCCCCCCCCTTGGAAAACAAAAATCCTGTATCTACTACTGTTTTGAATAACCACATGGTATTCGTATATAGCGATTGTACAAAAATTATGAGAAATTTCATAATTCTTTACCTGTGTCTGCTTTTTTTTTTTTTTTTTTTTTTTTAAAAAAAGCCATGCTGAATCATTTACCAATTCAGAAATTTAAGCGATGAAGTCTGGGTGTTCTGTAGATTTGAGTACAATGCTTGCATGATCACAAGTAGGAAACTTAAGGATAAATGAATAGAGGAAGATATCATTATTGATTATGAAATGCTTCCATATTGATCACTGCAAAAGTGAAAGCGATGAAATATTAAATCTCATCTGTCTGTCGGTCTATCCTTGTGTCTATCTGTCTATCTGTCCGTCTGTCACAAAAACTTTTACATAAGTTAAGATTTTGAATGAGAAAAAAAAATAAAGCTTTCATAAAATTTGAGTTGTATATTTTTGCGAAAAGTCCTTCTAGGTTTGATTCTTTGACTCTGAAATTTGACCCATGTTTCAAAAAAATTAACATTAATTTGGTAATGTGTTTTGAATGACGGCAGATAGAGCTTTCATATTTTACTTGCACATTACCTGTGGCTTCATGTTTTAGAAATGAACGTATTTTTTTATTCCTATAGATCCAGACTTCGAAGTTAAACATATTCATTAAATATTAGACTTGAGGTCTCTGAAGAGGTTGAATATGATGAAAAGGATGACGACGACAGGGAAATATGAAGTTGTATGGCCCTGTCATGTGACAATTTAGAACCAATTTAATAATGTGTTGTATAGAATAATCATAATGAGGTATGATGATAATAACTATGTGAGTATTTGATCCCCCGTTGTAGCCTCAACTCCACCCTTAGACGATAATTTGAAAATAAAAATGAATCTGCACTACCAATATTTAGAGATGCTTGCATAATTAATTTTTGATATGATTTATATTTTGGTTGAATTTAATTTTCTATTGCCAATTTTTTGATAGTTTACCTAAAACATTTGTACTCAGATCTTTAAACTGTTAAAATTGAGATATTTCCATCTGTTAGCGTATTATTCTTTTAATTGTTACAGGAATTTATCACTTATCAGATGCAGAAATTTCTAAAATCATTTTTTTTTTCTCTTAAGATAAGATTTAAAAGAAAGATAACTCCTGTAGATGGAAAGAGAACTCTTGTTGGTGGATGCATTTTTATTTTACAAGTACTGAAAACAATGTTATATCCTGGTTTAAAAGCAATCCTTCATTGTGTTTCCTAAAATGAATTAAAAAGGTATGACAGTAAATATTATTTTCATATATACCTCATTTTTTAGATTTTATGCTGAGATAAAAAAAAAAAAAAAAAGTATTGATCTTTCTATTCACTGCCTCAAATTTTCTTCATGCCATGATCTTTCTGAAAACCTAAGGAAAGTTTCATACTTCAAACTATTTTCCATTTTAATCTAATGCTATTGTTGTGATGAAAATCAATGTTGGGAATTTTAAAAGACAATTAATGAAATTTAGATCAGAGGGATATTTCACTTTAAATATACCTGATTATTCATGCATGTTCTTAATAATAAGAAATTTATTTTCTCAACATATCTTTATAAAATATCTTGGTATTATGGCCCCTTCTACTCTGGAAGACTTCGTTGCCTAAATGCATGCATATTGATATGACTAATCACGACTGTGTTGTTCTTGAGAAAACCATATTTGAATTTGTTTTCCGCATGAATTCAAATGTTAATTCAAAACCCATATCATGGGACCACCCTTTCCCCGGGGGCCATGATTTGCACAAATTTCAATCTGCACCACCTGATGATATTTGCTTATTAAATGACTAAACATTGACTAAACATTGACCTATTCCAAGGGGCATGATTTAAAGAAATTTTAATTTACACAACCTGAGACTACTTGAATTTAAAATGATTAATAACCATGGCTTTTATGTTCTTAATAAATGGATATATAAACAAATAATTCTTCATTTTTCCAAGATAAGGAGCCATCCCCTATTGTGGCCCCAACTAACCATGAAAGAGTTCAATCTAGTTACGAAACATCTCAATTAAATGCACTCGAGCATTTTAAAGTAGATAATATACAACCCATACCTAATGGAATGTATTTGATTCTAACTTCCTCATTTGACAATGGCTGTCCTGTTTCACACATGCACCTATGTTCTACTATTGATTAGAATGGATTTTTGTTACAGTATGTTACCTTCAAGATTTTCTATATTTATCATTATTAATATTATATTTTTTTTATGAATAACATAAATCTGTAGTCTATAAACATTGTAAACAAACCTTATCTGTAGGCAAATCTGTTTAAGATTAAATTTGTATCTGGAATAAATACGAATTTCTTAAAATACAAAAGTCTATAAAGCTCTTATTGGCATTTCGTCCATTATATACGAGTGTGATTTTCCCCCTTTCCTGGATCATTAGGACGTGACATAAAAATTTATAAATGTATAATATCAAGATGTGTGCTTTTTTATCATTTGGAATCAAATGCATTTTTCTATTTCTTATTATGAGTTTATTGAGCCCCGTTTTTCGCATACATGGATTCGCATAAACAAATATTATTTAAAAAAAAATATGCATGAAAAAATGTGGTTTGCTGTGGCCTTTAATTCGACATTTAGATGTACAATAAACATGTTTCGACAACCTTTTATAAATTGACAATATTATTTTTTCATTTCAACGTAGATTCAATACATCCCATTGAACGAGAAATAGAAGACACAATAGAGTCTGACAAATCTGTTTCATATTAGTATGCTTTATTAAATTAAAAAAAATATATATATATATATATGGCAAACCACTTCTAAACTCTGATAAACATGATCATTCTATTTTTTCTATCGCCAACTTCCCTTATCTATGTAGAAATAAAACATTTTTTTCTGCATATGGGTCTTAAGTCTCCAAGTTGATTAGAGCATGTTATACGTATATGTAATTTTTGACATAATTTCTAAAAAGACACAGGATATTGACAGTTAAGTTGACGACACACGATATCATCGTTCTCATTTAAAAACAACTGTTCGCATATTCTATTGTCAGTACAATTAATTTATTTACAAATGCAATCCCTAGTTATGTCGAATGTTGACTGATGTATTTTTCCGTTAACTGATCACGAAAGGGGACACAAAGTGTGTTTGACAGGTAGACAGAGGATGCTCATCCCACCATGCCACCAGATTCAACCTCTGTTTTTAGAGGTCTGTGATTGCTCTGGTCACAAATTGTATTTTGTAATCGGACTTTTGAACTTGATTGCTGTTTGTTATCTTCATAGTCATATTTCATGTATCAAACTTTTAATATACAAAATTGCATACCCCCCCCCCCCCCCCAATGAATCTGATGGAATCTGAACAGTTCGTACAAAGAGGGAAAAAACATAGAAAGTCCTGCATCTGTATCTTTAGCAAGGTTCACATAAACTTATCTGATTCTTCCACATTCTAATTAATTTAAATGTATAATTATCAATCCCTATAATTTCATCAAGGTACGCACTTAACATACGTATTTAACATTTCTAACATTATGCTGTAGATAGACAATGGTAGGAAATTTAAGAAAAATCTTAGAGATGTTTGCTTGTGTTATACATTTACGACTTTACAAACCTCCCAATTGATATATGCAGAAAACCTAGCGATGAAGCCTGAGAGTTATGTGGAGTTGAGTACAATGCTTGGTCACAACTATCCAGCCAGAGCAAATGATGGTGATCTTCGACAGAACATCCTTTATTGTTCACACACTGATAACGGTCAATCAAAAGCTTGGTTGCGGGTTAATCTCGGGGAGAGGTACCAAATCCAGGAAGTGAAAATATTTTATAGAAATAGCGGTAAGGACTTATGTTTATGGATAAAGTTTTAAAAATCGAGACTAATGAGTTCTTTTTAAGTATGTAGAATAAAAATGTAGACTAAGACTATTTTTCCGACTCTTTCGTTTCACTTCATGAAGACCTGCTCGGGGCTGTTACATGTATATCACAAATATATATCAGGCACGATATTTGTCATTCTGTACAAACTGTCAATGTTGCTTTGATATTCCCGCACATGTACATCATACTGCAGGAGCTTATAGAACAAACTAATCCAGAGAATTTGGGTCCCCCGCTTAAGGAAAAAAGAAGAGCATGCGCAGTTCGGGGGGTCGGGGGTGGTGTGGGTGGGACAGTATGACCCCCCCCCCCCCCCGTATTTTTAGAATTATTAAATGTATACATGTATATTGTAGCAAATCAAAAAAAGCCAATATGGATATAAAGATTTGATTGCTTATTCTTTAATATGTGTATAGAAGATTCGTTTTAATATACTATATACAGAATATTTATCACACTGTTATAATGATTTTATGAGTTTGTACATGCCAGACATCAAAACTTTTTCAATTCACATGTTGAATAGTATCATTTAGTGAATAATAATTAAAAAAAAACATTAAAAACAAGTTAATTCAGAGAATTTGTGTCCCCCGCTTAGGGAAAAAAGAATAGCCGGCGCAGTTCGGGGGGGGGGGGGGTCACACTGCCCCCTGTATTTGTAGAATTATTAAATGTATACATGTATATTGAAGCAAATAAAAAAAAAAAGCCAATATGGATATAAAGATTTGATTGCTTATTCTTTAATATGTGTATAGAAGATTCTTTTTAATATACTATATACAGAATATTTACCACACTGTATTAATGATTTTATGAGTTTGTACACTCCAGACATCATAACTTTTCATTTCACAATTTGAATAGTATCATTTAGAGAGAAAAAAAAAGGAACATCAAAAAAAAAGAGAGAGTCGTCCGTGGATTGAACCCGGGCCTCTTGTTTGCTAAACGAGCAACATACCACTAGACCACGGAGGCAGTTGACTATACAGCAAATTAAATGTAAACATCAAGTCACAAACAATGTTTTTATTCAATGGCATGTTTGATATTGTTAAATTTTAACTAATAAATTTTGTGTAATTTAGCCTTTTCTAAACAGTTCTAATAGATATAATTAGAATATAAAGTCCGCCGACAACCTGTATTATATGTAATAACTCTCGACATGCCCCTGTGCTAAAAATAGCGCCAAGCAACTTTTAATACAATAAATAAATTTAAAAAAAAAACCGGCGTGACACTTTGAGAGGGGCAAGAGAGGCATAGGGAGTTATGATATAAAATTTCATTGCAAAAGCTTCTTGAGATATTGCCCGGAAACGAAAGTGTTACAAACAGACGGATTTTATGAATTTACGACCTTGAACTTTGACTTTTTGACCTCGAAATCAATAGAGGTCTTTCTTAGGCCACAGCGAGTTGTTATTTAAAATTTCATTGCAAAAGCTCAAAGAATTCGCGAGATATCGCACGGAAACAAAAGTGTTTAAAAGAGAGAATTTATAAGTTGATGACCTTGACCTTTGACCTTTTGACCTAAAAATAAATACGGTTCTTCTTTAGGCCATAGGGAGTTGCTAGGAAAAAAATTGTTGCGAAAGCTCAAAGTGTTCTCGAGATATCGCGCGGAAACGAAAGTGTTACAGAGAGACAGAAATACAGACGGACGGACAGACGGACGGACGGACGGACAGACAGACCCAAATTAATATCGCCCACTTTCAGTGAAAGCGGGGGACAAAAAGTACTAGAAAACGGATACACAGACACTCAGACAGTTTTCAGCTCAAGACGAAGTGATTCATACATTCATGTATTGTCCCCCGCTTTCAGTGGGGTATATTATTCTCCCCTGAAAGTAGGGGATATTAATTTGGGTCTGTCTGTCCGTCCGTCCGTCTGTATTTCTGTCTGTCTGTAACACTTTCGTTTCCGCGCGATGTCTTGAGAACCCTTTGAGCTTTCGAAATGAAATTTTGCATAGCAACTCAACATGGACAAAAAAGAACTCTATTAATTTTGAGGTCAAAAGGTCAAAGGTCACGGTCACGGTCATAAATTCATAAATTCTGTCTGTTTTAACACTTTCGTTTTCGCGCGATATCTCGCGAATTCTTTAAGCTTTTGCAATGAAATTTTACATAACAAAAGGTCAAAGTTCAAGGTCGTTAATTTATTAATTCCGTCTGTGTGTAACACTTTCGTTTCCGGGCGATATCTCACTAGGCTTTTGAGCTTTTGCAAAGACATTTTATACCATAACTCTCTAGGGCCTCTCTCATCCCTCTCAAAGTGTCCCGCCCCGTTTTTTAATTATTATTTACACGAATTGTATTAAAAGTCGCATGGCACGATTTTTAGCACAGGGGCATGTGTAGAGTTATTACGTATAATACAGGTTGTCGGCGGACTTTATATTCTAATTACATCTTTTAGAACTGTTTAGTAAAGGCTAAATAAGACAATATGTAATGTGTAAAATTTTGACAATATCGAACGTGAATATAAACATTATATGTGACCTAATGTTTGCATTTAATCAGACTTAACTCAATATGAGTCATATTATGGGAATGAGTAGATTAACCTCTTTTTACGTAGTCAAAGAAGCATAACTCTTACGACATTATCATTACTGACTTTTTTGTGTGACCTAGTGTTTGCCTTTAATTTACTGTATAATCAAGTGCCTTCGTAGTCTAGGGGTACGTTGCTCGCTTAGCAAACGAGAGGGCCGGGTTCAATCCCTGATCGATTCTATTTTTCTTTTTTTAATGTTTTTTTTTTTTTTTTTTTTTTTTTTTTGATTTACTAAATGATACTATTCAACATGTGAAATGAAAAAGTGTTAATGTCTGGCGTGTACAAACTCATAAAATCATTATTACAGTGTGATAAATATTCTGTATATTAAATAGAATCTTCTATACACATATTAAAGAATAAGCAATCAAATCTTTATATCCATATTGGCATTTTTTTTAATTTGCTTCAATAAACATGTATACATTTAATAATTCTACAAATACAGAGGGGGGGGGGCAGTGTGACGCCCCCCCCCCCCCCGAACTGCGCATGCTCTTCTTTTTTCCCTAAGCGGGGGACACAAATTCTCTGAATTAGCTTGTTCTGCTTTGCAGTTATTATAAAAATTATGAAAAAACAAGAAAAAATATCTCAATTGTAAGCTCAAGATAAAAGAAAAATAAATGTTGAACAGTAGTTCCACATCAAGTATTCGACAAAAATATCTCCGACTTTCATTAAATTATATTTTCCTTGTAGAAATAAAAACAGATCGCTTCAATAATTTTTACATTGATGTTTCTAACAACACCTTTGAAAGATATAGATGCTACACGGATAATAAACCTGGCACACCGGCAGAGATTGAAACAATATCGTGCCGACATATCGCCCAGTATGTAACCGTGGAAACTACTTATTTCTCACATGGTGGTGTTTACTTAGAGATAGCAGAAATTCAAGTTTTCGGTAGTTATTTTCTCCCTCTCTCTGGTTGTATGGAATGAGTGTACAGTGTGTTGCTTAATTGATTTATTTTGGATATTGACAAGTACAATTGTGATTTATTGTAAATTAAATCTACCTGTATTGACCGAAGATTCTTCAAGCTAATAATTTCTTTGTGTATCATTTTTAGGATGCTCCATTCAGGTGAACAATTATCAATGTCCTAATGGTAAGTTTAGGTTCAAAAGACATTGTCGCTGAAAATAAGAAAAATAAAATGCTCGTAAAACAGACTTTCTTAAATTGTAAAATCTGCAGGTGATAGATACCACATCCTATTGTACACATCAGAACTGTTTTGAAGAGTAAAACATTTTTAACTAAAAGTACCTTCCATGACCGTAGGAACCGGAGGGGGGGGGGTTGCACGGGGGGGGGGCTCAATAAAAACCTCTGATGATTTTTTTTTTTTTTTTTTTTTTTTTTTTTTTGCTTGTCAAGGAATTTTTGGTAGTTGATAGTGCCCCTCCAGCTGTAAATGTATGGCTGTGCCCCCCCCCCCCCAAACTGAATTTGCTTCCTACGGGCCTGCCTTCATCAAAAGAAGCGACTGTACGCTGAAAAATGTTTGAAGTTCGTGGCGTATAGTACACATGGATGCCTTATTATTTATACTGATTTATTTATACTGATGTTTAATACATACTGGGGAATAAACAATATCGCGTTTTGTCGGACCCAAGAACCAAACTGTTTGCCTGAGGCCGTTAAACAGTTTGGTTTGTGGGGTCGGCAAGACGCATTTTGCCCGAGAAGCCAGTCAATATATGTTTTGTTATACCTTTAATTTACAAGAGGAAAATTTTGTTTACCCGCACGTGGGTAAAAATTCGGTCAATTCCGTAACTGATGCAAATAAGATAAAGCTGATCCCGCCCACAGTGTGACGTAAGCGGTCCAATATCTCATCAACAGGTCCAATATCTCACTCTGCGGTCTATCGATTTTTGTCTGACCGCTCAGTAAATCATTGGAAATGTTAAACTTTTTCAGTATAGATTTATATAGAAAATAATTCCTAAAACTATAACAAATTCTTATAAAATTGTGTCCGTTAAACGCAATGAAGGTGATATACGATGAATTTAGCATAATGCCACAGTACGTACTTAGGAAATTATCGATGAAGAAATGAGGTAGTGGTTTACAAGAAAGGGACACAGTAAGGAACGAATGTAACGATATATTATAGAGAAGAAATGCCCCTTGAAGCTCATTTAATCAAGATAATGTAGAAAGGGTGACCTATATACGAAGTATAAACATGATAATTGTTTTAACTTTATGATAATTCCATATACAAGAAAAAATCCTTAAAAACCAGGTATTTGAATTCAGGAAAAAAATATTTTGGAGAAAGTGTTAAACGTTACCCGTCACATTAGCTGACACCTAAAAGGGGATACTCGTCATATTCTGATTTTTTTTTTTTCATCAGCAAACAGGAATACCCACAAAACCACGTGTTTGCAATCATCTTGTTGCACCCCAGAAGTGGTTTCCTACCAGTATGCCCTGAAAGAAATAGTTTCTGTCAAAAACATTTTACATAGTACATAGAATATCCTAAGCACCGATACCAAAAATGTATAAAATGGAATAATAATTGGGGAGATAAAAAAAAATCTGTGATTGACTAAGTTCAGTTTTATTGGTCAATTACAGGTGTGCTACCTTTAAATATATATATATAATATATATATATATATATATATATATATATATATATATATATATATATATATATATATATATATATAATATTTATACGAGGATTATCCCAGAAATACGCGAACATTTACAATGTCTTTTGGTTCACTGATACCATAAAGTTAAAAATTGGCATACATCATGATCAACATTTTTTGAATAATGCTTAAAAATTTCAATTGAATATCTCCATAGATAACATTTCCCTCTCATGTAAACGAACTTTACAAATCAGTTTTCGGCGCAACACTGACGTCGTCAAAACGTAGCTCATGGCGTTTGTGAATTATTTCTGGAAATGTGCGTCTGATAGAATTCGTTTAAGCATAAATTCAGCATTATATTAATTTTTCTTTTATTTATCAAGTTATACATCTCAAATACTAGTGTTACCAAAAGATTGTGGAATTAATTCTTTTAATAGATAATTTCCCAATCCCGATAATAAACCTAACAGTTCGCATTGTTTAATGGCGGCTTTAACGTAGGCCTATGACGTCCAGCTCCTGGCTTTCAGTTTGTCTTCATTTTTGTTGGTCTACAAAACGCCGCTTCTATCGGATAACCAGTCAAGTCATCCTCAAACCTCTTCAGCTAGAAATAAACATGCGTCCGAGACTTATGTTTCTGTTTTTCCATCGTTAACATCTCTTTTATCGTATGGTCAGGAGTCATATCCCGCTCAAAACAGTACTGCTTAATAATTTGGTGCTCCACATTACCGCCCAACGTCACCATTTTTGACAATATCTAATTTTATAAAAAGTGTTTTAACACATAACGTCATATTTTTGTCATTTATGATGTCAAACTAATGAATTTTTATACACTAGTACACCAGATCAAAGAGTATTTATGGAGATAGATTTTGTGACATTATATTTCCGTATAGCTTGGTAATAAAGAAAACTTCATTAACAAGGCTACTTTTAAAAGTAAAAATATTGCCGTGCGCCAACCATCGTTATTAAACACCCTTGAAATGCTGTTTATATATATTTAATAACTTCTCAAGCCTAAAATATTTTGTCAAAATACCGCAAAATATTATTTTACAACACCGTGCAAAAAATTATTAGTTTTGGTTGAATAGGTTCTGAAATATTTATAAAGTTCGCGTTTTTCTGGGACAACCCTCGAATATATACAAATAAGTGTTTGAGTATGTTATCACAGAATTGTGAGGCAAATTATTAGAGAGAGAGAGAGAGAGAAAGAGTTCTCTTACGCACGTAGAGACCCAGAACAACATCTCAGGAAGAGTTAGCAAAAATGGTTCCGTCGGACTTTAAAATTTTTGGTTTCCAACTCGACATCAAAAAAAAAAAAGAATTTATCTGGGACACGCGTAATAATTGTAAATTATAATCTACATGCATTGACCAGTGATGTATTATTTAAATCCTGCATGTAGTTGATATTACTTTGAAAATTATAACCCCTCAAAAACTTTTTCAACCGAGACACAATTATATTGTAATGCACGTTCTATACAATTACAAATACTTTTCCTGTGACGCCTTCATTCGATAACATACGTCAACTTTGCTTCTATAAACTTCGGTTATTTCCGTGTCTCCGATATTGAACGACGAGTATACTTCTGACGTAGCAGCGACGTTGCGATCTAACAGGTCTTATCTTGAACTGACAGACATGTCAAAAACAAAATTGTTAGACCGAGGCAAAAAAAATAAAAAAATAAAAAAATAAAAAAAATAAAACTAGAGCCGAGCTCGTTGCAGAGCAACGAATAGGTCTTCCGTTGGAGCAGTAATCTTGAGTCAAGGTCATGCCATATTCTAAGATGATAAATAATCTTTTAAGGGACTATCAACTTGCAATGCTTCGCCAGTAGAAAGACAATAAAATAATGTACACTTTCTATTTTGTGACCTTGAACTTGTCCAGATGACCTTGCGTAAAGCCATGACACACTCTGGTTATGACGCAAACCTATCTGTGTTACCGACTTGACAAGTTAACACATGTTCTTTCAGACCACACATCCAGTAAAAGCATCTTGTTCTTAGTGACGTTGAACTTGAGTCAAGGCCATGACACAGTCTGTATGATACCAACAATACCCATTCTGAGTGTTTCCAACTTGACAAGTTTACACATGTTTTTTTTTTTTTTCATTTCGTTTCCATATAGTTGTAATTTATTACTTTTAACTCGCTGGCTTCAAATTTTATTGTATATATGTTTTATGTCCAATTTCGATATTGAAAAACGTCGGCATCTTTGAGTACGTGTACAAGTTGCATTACGTTACCCTATCACATCATGTTTTATAACGCAGACCATACATGTATATATAGTCAGCGTTATAAAAAAAAAAGGTTAAAAAAACCATTTTATTCATCAAAAATCTCTGCTTAATTATCTTTGCTGATTTCTTACAGAACTAGAGTGTTCCCAGGAACGCATGTGTCGCCTGCTTTTAGCTTCATTAAAGATGTAACTAAGTCTAAAAGTTATCAGCTATTTATTTGCTAAGGCATTGAATATAGTTCATGCCAAAAAAACAAAACAATCCAGGGATAGTAAGACTGCGATAGAATCTAACAATCAAATAGAAATGCAAATCCTTAACCCCTGAAAGCTAAAATGGATATTAATGAAATTTGAATAAATTTATTATAAATAATTATATATAAATTATTCAAGTACGTGATTTCGACAATCCTTCGAAAGAGGCTTCAGTCTTTCATATCAGCAATTGTCAGTCTACACCATCCATTTTGGAATACCGATCCCGTTGTATTTTCATAGTACTTAAATTTCAGTTTTTGTGGTTTCTTTATTTCATACAGTGTCAAAATACATTGTCATGAGATCATAAACATGTATAGCTGTTAATTATTAAACCCTGCCTCTGTAATTTCAAAAGACATAAGTTAAATTTAACCCTCCGAAGTATATTTTACAAAATAGGTCAAAGGTCAAGGTCAAGTGAACTGTAACGCTGGTATTTTTCAAAATGTTTTATGACAAACAGTGCACATTCTAAATAGCATAGACTTACCTCATAAATATCAAAAAGAAGTTGTATATCGGCATTATTGGTTATTTTGAAAAGTAGGTCAAAGGTCAAGTTCAAGGATATCTAGGTCGGAAGCCATGGAAAAATACAAAAGCCATAGTGTCAAGCTATATGTGCAAATTATCAAACCCATACCTCTTACATTTCTCGAGATATAAGGTGTGACAGACGGACGGACAGCAAGACAGACGCCAGGTAAATTGATCGGTAAGTGCTGCTCTGCTCTGCAGGCGACACAAAAATGTTTGTTTGATTGTCTGTTTGTTGTTTAACGTCCCTTGAGCTGCCAGCATTTGCCAGTGGAGGGCTGCAAATTCAGACCTATACTCGACACTGAAGGCCATTGAGCAGTGGGGGATTTTTTTTCATGCCGGCACCTACTGCTAAACGGGACCTCGGTCTATACGGCC